TGATACACACTTAAACATGATTAAAATATAAACTTTCATGTAATGTATATTTTCCCACAATAAAAACATTACAATCCCCAAACTTGTAATATAGTTATATATGTGCTTCTTTATTAAATGCATTAAAGAACAACAACAAATGCAATGGATGAGATCAGCTATTTGTAAGAGTAATCCAAGCGTGCAGGTGTGTAGCTAAGGAACCTTGGGAACACCTAAATTTAATCAAGGTTTTTTGGGGGATGGTGATATTATTCCTTGAAACTGAAAGGTTATTGTCATCTGCTGCCTCTGGCCTCCTTCACAAACAATTGGAAACCTAATCCTGTGACAGTCGCCATGAACTCAGAGGTTTATTGCTTGGAGGTTCCTTAGGAGCTCAAAAGGCCAGCTTTTCACCTTCCTGCTGAGGCGCAAGCAGTTTTAGGCCAGGTGGGGGCAGCAGAGCGCAGCTGGTTGCTAGGGAACTAAACAGCAATACATCTATTTACTAGTAAAGATTTAGGAAAGGGAAACCATTTTATGACTTAAAACTTTTTTACTGGTCAGAATCCAAAAGATGTCAACATTTCCAGCCGTTACGGATGTGCTAGACAAAAGCAAGAAACCATAATTTTGATAACGACGAAAAAGTAGTTTGTGATGAGCTGTCTAGAAAATGTAGAAATTTCATTGTTGAAACCCTTTGGAACTTTTCCGTTTTCTTTTTCTTCCTGTCTCTGTGTCACTGTCACTGATATCTGATGAGGAAGAGAGTCCAGAGTTGTGGAAGGAATTTCTATTCATGTAGGCATCATATAACTTTAAGTCCTTAGGAGAAAGTAATTCTTGACAAACATTCCAGGACCACGTGTAAGTAGAAAAGGTGTCATAAAAGGATTCATTTTTAGTGTCTATCCCAATCAAATCCCCTCGGATCTTGCGCCAGAGGTTTAGCATTTCTTTCCGGTGCTCAAGGGCAATTCCTAAATTATAGGTGTCTGTAGCTCTCTTCACCTGCAGTGAGAGAGCAGAAGTTTACAGTAGTTACCTTAAAATATCTTTAATTTGTGGACTACAATTATAGATATTCCAAGAGTTATGTTCCCAGGCCTTGAAAGTCACTGAGCCTGAAGAGGTAGTGCCTCTTGAGGACATGTGAGCTAGGAGTTGATGGACAATCTAAATATATTACTTTGGAATAATGAGATAGTAAGAAATTTTACAAGATTATTAAAAATACAATGAACTAAGGGGCTGGGCGAGGTGACTCACTCCTGTAATCCTAGCACTCACTCTGGGAGGCTGAGGTGGGAGGATTGCTTGAGCTTAAGAGTTTGAGACCAGCCTTAGCAAGAGCAACACCCCCATCTCCACTAAAAAAGTAGAAAAATTAGCTGGGCATGGTGGCATGCACCCGTAGTCTCAGCTACTTGGGAGGCTGAGGCAGGAGGATTGCTTGAGCCCAGGAGTTTGAGGTTGCAGTGAGCTACAGTGACACCACTGCACTCTACCTGGGGCGACAGAGTGAGACTCTGTCTAAAAGAACTAAAATAGGGAGAAGTGTGGGATGGTAATAGGCTCCAGATATAATAACACTGCCAAGGATGGGCCCTAATTCAGCCTAGGACAGGGATAACTGTTGGGGAGAAGAAGCTGAGCTGAGTAGGTCCTCAAGGATTTGATCAGATTGAGGGAATGAGTTGTGATGGGAAGGCGTATATAGGGAGAAGGGACGGCATAAACAAAGGCTCCAAGGCACTAAACATCCTGGTGTTGGCAGGAGGGTACAGGCACTTGGTATTGCAGGAGTGTCAAGTTTAAAGTGGGGATGAAGGAGTCAGGATAGAGGAGAGGCAGGCCCTTAGACTTAATCTTGTAAGTCAGTGATCTTAGTGGGGTTGGGGAGAGCCCTTTCCTCAGCCAAAGTCATGCTGTAGTGAGCCACTGTTTTGGATGAGTGAGATAAATTCCTCAGTGGTGTGGAGCAGAAAATAGAGTTGAAAAAGGCTGCCGTGGTTGAGAGGGACATGTTCACTTTTAAGCAGGACGGTGACATGGTTGGATCTTCATGCAGCTGTGTGGAGAATAGTTGGAGGGCAGGAGCTTAGGCTGGAGACCTAATGAGGGCCTCAATTAAGGTAGTGGCAATAGGGACAGAGTGAAGGGGACAGATTTGAAAATTTTTTTTTTTTTTTTTTGAGACAGAGTCTCACTGTGTTGCCCGGGCTAGAGTGCCATGGCGTCAGCCTAGCTCACAGCAACCTCAAACTCCTGGGCTCAAGCAATCCTCCTGCCTCAGCCTCCCGAGTAGCTGGTACTACAGGCATGTGCCACCATGCCCGGCTAATTTTTTCTATGTATTTTTAGTTGTCCAATTAATTTCTTTCTATTTTTAGTAGAGACGGGGTCTCGCTCTTGCTCAGGCTGGTCTCGAACTCCTGAGCTCAAAACAATCCGCCCGCCTTGGCCTCCCAGAGTGCTAGGATTACAGGCGTGAGCCACCGCCCCTGGCCAGATTTGAAAAATTTTTAGGAGAATTAAAGGGGCAGGACTTGATTGGTGGATGTGAGGAATGAGTAAAAAAGTCTAAGTTAATGATGGCTTCTAGCCTTATAGCTTCAGTGACGGTGTAGATGGTGGTATAAACAACTGAGATACAGAATCCCCAGGGAAGAGCCAGTTTGAAGCAGAAGATGATGAGTTTGGTTTTGGACATGTTGAATTTGTAATGCTATGAGACATCATATAGTGGTAGAAATGTTCTTTATGTGGTCAGTGAGATAGGATAGAAGTATAGGAAAGAAGTCTAGGCTAATGACAAATTTAAGAGTTTTCAGTATATAGGTGGCAGCTGAAACACGGAGGGTGGATTGATAGCCTGAAGACTATTTGCCTTCGCTGTTCCTTCACCTAATGCAGAGATCCTCGATGTTCTGCTGCAACGGGGTTACTGGGATGCAAACTATTGATCTTTTCAGGCTTCTTAGCCCTTCGGGCAGCCCTCCCCAGGGCTGGAGGCCTCTGGATATAAGCAGTCTCCATTTACTCCACTGTGAATTTGTGCCATGATGAGACAGAGGTTGGGAGCTCACTCTTTTGTGATCTTGTGCATGCATTTGTAATTCCATTTATCTCAATATATTCCTGCTGCCCATTTCTTTCTCCACATCTTCTACCCTCACTCCAAACTTAGTGAGGGTAGAAACTGTGTTTTTTATTCTATGGTATCTCCTAATCTCAGAACTTCTGGATAAAAATTTATTGAACAAATGAATGGGTGAGTGTATACAATGAGAAGAGAAATAGGATGAGACTAGAAAACTAGGAAATATCAATACCTAAGGGACAAACATTCAGGAAAGAGAAGAGAGAGGAAAGGACACAGAGCTACAAGGAGAACTGAAGATGCAGTATTGGAAAGGCCAAGGAAGTAGAAGTGTCAAGGAGAGCTTGATCATTAGTATAAAATGCAGATGGAGATGGCATAAAATAAATAACATCCTTGTCTATCTCTGTGGGGTACGAAAGTTGCTAACAAGTCAGGGTACAAAAGTAGACAGCATAGATTTATGGTTAAGTGTGTATTCCAGCAGGGCGCGGTGGTTCACACCTGTAATCTCAGCACTTTGGGAGAGGCCAAGGTGGGAGGATCACTTGAGGTCAGGAGTTCAAGACCAGTCTGAGCAAGAGTGAGACCCTGTCTCTACCAAAAATAGAAAAAATGAGCCGGGCTTGGTGGTGTGTGCCTGTAGTCCCAGCTACTCAGGAGTCTGAGGCAGGAAGATTGCTGAGCCTAGGAGTTTGAGGTTGCACTGATGATGACACCACTGCACGCTAGCCAGGGCAATTGAGACCTTGTCTCAAAAAAAAAAAAAAGTGTGTATTCTGTAGCTACATTTCCCATGTTTATAATCCTTAATCTACTACTTACTAGCTGTGTGCTTTTGGGCAAATCACTTAACCTCTCTGTGCATATCTGTAAAATGACAAGAAATGACAACAGAGCCTACCTTAAAGTGTTGTTGTGATAATTAAGTGAATCAGCACTGTAAAGCACAGTGCCTGGCACTTAGGAAACTATTATTATTATTTTTTTAGCTGCTATAATAAAGATGTTTTAATCACCATGATTCCCTGAGTACACCACTCACTGTGACTGTTGGTTTCCTACCTTAATTAGTTTGCTATTTCCAGCATGAAACAAACGAGTGTCCCAGAAATGAGGCAGGGATGAAATCATAACACCTAACATTAGAATCCATTTGATTGTGGAGCAAGAAATGTTGTCATTACGATGGGTTAAAATGAGAAACAATCTTGTCTCATTTTAAAAGCATAGGGCAGATCAAAATTTTCTTGGTTTTACGGTGTAGTATTTAAGTAGAGAATATTTTTGTCAATGCCTTCTGGGAAGGCATTCAACAATGAATACTCACGTGCTGTTTAATAGCAGCTGCATCGACCACTGTCCAAGTCTGCTTTTTCTTGAACATTTGATCAATGGTATAGATTTCACTTGAATAGCCTGAGGCAGGGTTTATAGGCTTTATATTTGCTGCCTTTATGCACATTTAAAAAAGAAGATTAGTAATACATTTTAATTTGAATTAGGCAACAATAAATTATAATAAACAGAAGTATATTTTATGATGAAAGGATTTGTATATGATTTATCAGGTTATTGCTAAACCATTTGTCAGTTGTTTTGGAGCACCTAGCATAGTGCCATGTGTAAATGGGCATTTGGTAAATTCTCCTTAATAATGATGAAGCCTTCTCATCAGAGACGTATAGACAGATGGTTTCCACGTGGAATGGATATGGAGGATATGGAGGAGCAAACACCATCATGACCCAAACCTTCCATCATCACAAAGCACCAAAAATGATTGTGCCCTCCAGAGAGCACAGCCTTTGTTACTTCCAAACTTCTCCTAGGGAACCAGCCATCTCTTTCCCCTGTTCTTGGGCTGGTGAACAATGCTGGTGGAATCATGTAAATATGTGATTGCTTTCTTTGAAAATGTATATTACCTCATTCAGGCCCTTGGTACTGCTTGACATTTTTTCCTTCATTCGCTGTTTACTCCCTTACTGTCCTCATAGTGGCTGCTGGAAAACCAAACCTTCAAACTCTTGGCTGACGAGCTTGTCTCTTTAAAGCTATCTAATATGAATTCTCTTAACTTTTTTTCCATCTTAGGATTTCTCCATCCTTTAACCCACTTTTCCCTCCTTCCGTCTTTTTTTTTTTTTTTTTGAAACAGAGTCTCACTCTGTTGTCTGGACTAGAGTGCCATGGAATCAACCTAGCTCACAGCAACCTCAAATTTCTGGGCTCAAGCGATCCTCCTGACTCAGCCTCCTGAGTAGCTGGGACTACAGGCACTCACCATCACACCTGGCTAATTTTTCTATTTTTTTTGTAGAGGCAGGGTCTCGTTCTTGCTCAGGTTGGTCTCAAACTCCTGGCCTCAAGCAATCTTCCTGCCTCAGCCTCCCAAAGTGCCAGGAGTACAGGCACAATCCCGGGGTGTGGGGGGGTTATGATTTTAATAGGGTTGTTAGAGAAGGCCTCCTTGAAGTGACATTTGAGACAAGACCTGAGAGAGGTGAGGGAAAGAGCTATGCAGATATATCAGGAACAGCATTTGAGCAGAGGGAATAGCAAAACTAAGGACCATGAGATCAGAGGATGTGTGGGCTGTAAGAGGAATAGTAAAGAGGCCTTGCAGATGGGGTGAAGTACACTGGAGGGTGCACAGTGGAAGATGAGATTACTGGATAGGGCAGGCAATGAGGGTCTAGATCAGTGATGTCCAGTGGAATTTTCCACAATGATGGAAATGTTTTATATTTCTGTGTCATCCAATATAGTATCCATTATCATATATGGCTACTGAGCATTTGAAATGTGGCTACTGTGATTGAGGAACTGAATTTTATTTAATTTTAATTAATTTAGATTTAAATAGCCACTAGCGGCTAAAATTATTGGAAGGCTCAGGTTTGGATTGTGTAGAACCTTGTAAGTTATTATAAAGATTTTGATTTTCACTCTGAGTGATATGAAAAGCCATTGACAGTGTTGAGTTGATTTTAACAAGGCCACTTTGGCTATTGTGTTGAGAATTGAACATGACAAAAATAGAAGCAAAGAGATCATTTAGGAAGCTGTTTATCCATCTCTGATGAGATTATTAGAGACAATCTAGCATATAGTGTGCTGTCAATAAATAATGTGTATTATAATTATCTTTCTTTCAAAAAATATTGAGTCACCTGTGGGCCAGGCCCTGTTTTAGGTGATGGGGATACCTCAGTGAAAGAAATAAAATCCTTGCATACATGAACCTTATATTCTAGCTGGAGAGATTGACAATAAGCAGATAAGCCTCATAGTTGGGTGGTGTGTGTTCAACGTTGGGACATAAATTTAAAGGGAGATAAATGTCCTCTTCTTTCCATCTTTTCAGTGACTTGTGGGTGTGACTTCATTTGAAGAGATAAAGACAAAGACTAAACTCAAGGTCATTTGTAACAGTTGATACCCCTCTGGGACTCTTTTTTTTTTTTTTTTAATTTTAAAGGAGTTGTGAGGAGGGGTGTTCAGGGAGGATTGCTTGAGTTCAGGAGTTCAAGACTAGCCTGAGCAAAGCTGAGACCCCTGTCTCTACCAAAAAGAAAGGAAAAAAAAACCAGCCAGGTGTCATGGCACGCACTTGTAGTCAGTCCTAGCTGCTTGGGAGGCTGAGGCAGGAGGCTCGCTTGAGCCTAGGAGTTGGAGGTTGCAGTGAGCTATGATGATGCCACTTCACTCTAGCTGGGCCGATAGAGTCAGACTCTGTCTCAAGAAAAACAAACAAGGCAACTGAACACCCCTCCTCACAACTCCTTTAAAATTAATTAAAAAATCCCTGGGACTCTTAAACTCTATGTCTGGAGGGACCTTTTAGGGATTTTTTAGTGGTGTGAACAATATGTGGACCTCTGGATCTGAGAGATGTCCCACTGGGTTGGCTGGCTTCCAGTTAAATCTCAATCCTGTTTCTCAGGCTGGGAGACCTGTGACAAACTTGGGGTAACTTGGGTATGCTTGCCTGAGATCTTAAAACTCATGATGACAGAGTGTATCTTGGGAGGGAGGCAAATAGATTAGAGGCAACAGAGTGTGAAGCAGGGCCAGAAGGTGCAGCTGGGACAGTAGTGGGGTCTGGCCAAGGGCAGGATGGCCTTTCCATGAGGCTGTGGACTTGTTCTCTCATCCCATGGTGTCTGCCCAGCCACAATCTAGAGCTGGTTGAGGAGTCCAAAGTGCAGCTCTGGAGAGCAGTCTGGGCTAGGACCTCAGGGCCTTCTGTTGTTATTATTCTTTTTTTTTTTTTTTGAGACAGAGTCTCACTCTGTTGCCCGGGCTAGAGTGCCGTGGTGTCATCCTAGCTCACAGCAACCTCAAACTCCTGGGCTCAAGCAATCCTTCTGCCTCAGCCTCCCGAGTAGCTGGGGCTACAGGCATGCACCACCATACCCGGCTAATTTTTTTTTCTATGTATTTTTAGTTGTCAGATTAATCTGTTTCTATTTTAGTAGAGACGGGGTCTCGCTCTTGCTCAGGCTGGTTTCGAACTCCTGAGCTCAAACAATCCGCCCGCCTCGGCCTCCTAGAGAGCTAGGATTACAGGCGTGAGCCACTGCGCCCGGCCATGTTGTTATTATTCTTATACTCTCCATTCTCAAACCCAAACCTAGGGTTCTATTTTTCAATAAGTTTAACTATTTGTTGAAATTAAATGAAATATTTATACCTGGGCTTAAATTTAGGAACATGGCTATGGAATCTGGATTGAACTATGACTAAAAATATTTGTAAAAAGCATGTTATTAGTTCTGTTAAATTAGTATTTAAAAATCTAAGTATTTAAATTAGCTAATGTGACATAATCTAAATCTCACCTGTGTTTTCCAGTCTTTTTTATGGAAAAAATAATTATCAAAGAAATTCAAAGGCTCCTTTTTCCTTAACATTTCTAATTTCTGTAAGTCTCTGAATGGCTTTCCCATCACCACCCTGTCCACGTTAGGAAACAGTGGAAAGATGGGTATTTTTGAATATGGGCTCTCTGAAGGGGGATTGCATCCTAAAAAGATAAAAACAAAAATGGTATCACAAGCAAGTTAAGAAGAAATTCACATAAAAGACAAACATGTGCTGCCTGTTTTGCTCTTTGTCTATTCTTCCCAGTAGCCATGGCCTCCCTTCTTCACTCTCCTGCCCCCATGCCCCATCCATCCACTGATTCTATGCTTCATCCAGGCTTCTGAAGATTCAAGTAAGATGTACATTCGCTTTCAAACGATATCTGTGTGACAGAGACCGGTCACTTGGAATAGGCTGTGGGCCTGCTCTTACAGCACTTGGCCTCTAGTACTTATTTCTGACCAGTCATATACACATAAATCCTTTACAACAGGGGAGAGAGAACAAATGGCTCCTACTTTTGAGCTCTTCAAGAAATTTAAATAAATCCTTTTCTTGCATTATTGCAGCTTGGGCAGCATTAGCAAAGGCAGCTGTGCTTGAGCTTGGAGGTGCGTATACTTCTGGCTTAAGTCTCCTTTTTCCATAACCTGTAGCACAGGGACTCCACAATACTCCTGCATCAGAATGCTGGAATTTCTTTTGGAAATAGCTTTTAAAAAAATAGTAATTCAGAAATTGATTAAAAGAGCTATAGGCCAAAAAAATTGTCAAGTTGTAAGTTACATATGCTGAACAAACTTTTAAATCTAATTTGCATATTCATTCAATAATATTTGGGTGCCTATTTCTGTGACATTTATAGAATAGCTACTGATATTTTCCACAGGCCGTTTGACTATTTTATATCTGTATTCCTTGGCTTTTGGTTTCCTTTGTCTTCTCCAAAACCTCCCAGTCTTTTCTAGAAAAATATTTAATGGATGATGATCCTTGACAAACCCTTAAGTGATACCAGTTTGAATACAAACATTAATCATGCCTATTATCCTTCCTACTTTGTGTTGGGATTTAAAATGCAACTTTTTTTTTTTTTTTT